CATAGGGTTGCTATGTGAATACTCTTGTGGAATCTTTTCTACAATTTGGTGATTTGCTAGTCCTGTTACTTTAAGTCACTTAATATCTCTGAGGCTCAGTTGCCTCATCTGTAAAATGGGAATAATAATGCACTATCTACCTCATATTCTTCTTGTTGTTATTCAGTAGTTTCCAACTCTTTATGACCCCACTTACTTACTTGCTGTGTGACCCTGGGCAAGTCACTTAACCCTGTTTGCCTCAGTTTCCTCATCTGTAAAATGAGCTAGAGAAGGAAATGGCAAACCACTCCAGTATCTTTGCTAAGAAAGCCCCAACTGGGGTCATGAAAAATCAGGCATGACTGAACAACAGTGACTTCTGCATCCAAATTCAGTGTTCTTTCCTCTCTACCAGCACTTCTTAAACTGTGAGTCGCAACCCCACGTGGGGTAGTGTAACTGAATATGGGGGTCATGAAAAATTTGGCAACAGTAAAAGGCTTCTGAACACACAACAACCAAAAGTTAATTCATGCCAGATGGCATAGCGGATAGAGCATCAGCCCTGGAGTCAGGAGGAACAAGTTCACAGTCCAGCCTCAGACACTTGACACTTACTAGATGTATGACCCTGGGTAAATCACTTAACCCCATCACCTAGCAAAAAAAGAAATACTTGCCTTCAAATTTTGTTTCTAAAAAACTAAGTTGGGTTCATAAACCATACTCAATTGAAATCAAAATCGGCAATCATCTGCCATTAAAAGTTCAAGAAGAATTTTCTGAGTTATAAGCAACACAGGTTTAAAACTTGTTTCCTAAAAAATCATTAAGTGAATTTTGACTTGGGATTAGGACAGAATTTCCAACAATTTCTGAAATGGCCCTAAACATACTTAGGCTATTTTGTACTACATATTTATGTGAAATGGCATTCTCAGCATTGATGATTATAAAATCAAAATATCAATCAGCTCTGAAAAAGGTTGAAGATGCTCTATGTCCTGCAGTATCACATTTTTCACCAATTGAATTCTTTATGTAAAAATAAATAAGCATATCCATCTCATTAGTATGCAAATTTGCTTTCATTTTCAATAAATGGTAAAATCATATGTATACCAAAGAACTGTTTTAAAATAAATTTCTTTATGATTTCTTATCAGTAAATGTTTGATTTGTATACCTATTTTATATACCTATATACCTGAGGCTGCATAAAAATTCTTCTGGTAAAGAAGAGTTGTGAATGGAGAAAATTTAAGAAGCCCTGCTCTACACTACATGATCCCTGAGTTTTTTTCATTTAAACAGAAGTCTATGGCTCAGATGAAGACTGAAGTTCACCCACTGTGAAAATGAAAAGACTGAAGTATAATCTATAATTCAAGAATTTCATAGAGATGGAAGGGTTTGAAATGGCTACCCAGAAGCCCTCCAAAAGTAAACATTGAGAATGCATGTACAATTGAGTAATTGTACTAAACAGATACTATTTGGGGTTATCAATGACGCAATGCTAAATTCTGAGTAGGTAGAATTATTCTAAAAAAGTATAATCACTACTTTCCACTGGATTTCCCTTTTTTTTTGTAAGTAAATTTCCCCAATGTCTTTCTTTTACCTGAGTCTTGTTGAGTACTTATTGAAAAAACTTTTTACTCACTTACTTTAATTATTAACCTGTTCCATTCTTACTTGCTTGCTGGCTCTAGACTATTTGAAAGGGAAGCAAAAGCAAAAATTCACATTCCAGCACCAACCCAGTCCCTGATAAGGACTTTGAGACAGAGTCAAACCTTTGGGGATGCACTCCTAAAATAAGCTGCATTTATTACTCTAAGGCATATTTATATACTCTATGTAAAGCAAAATTCCCTAGTAAAGTGTTTCAAAATCAAAACATAAACTTTTGAGCTAACACAGGAAGCTATTAGTCTATAATATTTGGTCTTTATAACTGCATAGTTTTATATATCCATGAGTACTACATGTTTCCTTGACATTAAACCTGTATTTTCCTTCCTTAACCACAGTACTCCATTGTCTCAGGGTGTTTTCCAGATTAAGGATATGTTTATTCATATGAAAGGTAACTGTGGCAGGAATTATGTGATATGGGTTTATTTAAAGACGGACAGTGGAACTGCTCCTCCTATAACTAGGGCTTTATACATAGCTAGACCTATTTTGTGAGTGCCTTGGACTCTGACTCAGTATAGTTTCTGGCAATAAACTTATACTTGCTGGGATATCACCGTTCATTTTCAGAGCTCTCTGGGGTCCTAGAATCTGATCAATCCCAGGGCTCTGAAAGCTGACTGTTACAGTACTAGTCAGTTAAACAGAGAGTCAAGGGGCAACTATGTGGCTATTTGCCTCAGTTTCCTCATCTATAAAATGATCTGGAAAAGGAAATGGCCAACCATTCCAGTATCTTTGCCAAAAGAATCCCAAATGGGGTCACAAAGAGTTGGACACACCTCAAATGACTGAACAAAATATAGTCAATAAACAATTTGATCTCACAAGCATTTATTACTCTATACATATTTATATGCTCCATGCAAGGCAAAATTCTCCAGTGAAGTATTTCAAAATCAAATGATAAACTGTTGAGCTAATAGAGGAAGCTATTGGTCTTTACAATATTTGGTCTTTATAACTGCATAGCTTTATATATCCATGAGTGCTAGGTGTTTTCCTGACATTAAATCTATATTTTCCTTCCTTAATCACAGTACTTATTAATTGCCATTTCTTCCAAATATTTTTCCACATATCAGTCCATTAAAGTGGTTTTATTATTATTTTTGTTTATAACTGTGATTTCTTCAGTGTTGAAATATCCCCCACCAGTGCAGATTGCCAGTTCATCTCTACTTTATAGTTGATGGCTCAGTACATGTGAGGCAAAACTAGAAACCAAATCTTGATACCAACATCAGTCCTTCATCCCCTTTGCCGTGGTAACTCCTTAGAAAACATATATATTTATTTTAAAATAAATTTTTTCCTTTTTTACATCACCAAGTTTTACCCAATATCATTCTTCCTACTCCCTCCCAGAGAGCCATTTCATATAACAAATAATATTTTTAAAGAAAAAGAAGAAAAAAGAAGAAAAAGAGAAAAAAATCATCAAAACTGATTAATACCAAATCAATCAAAAAATCTGAAAATATTTTCATTGTACTACAGTGTAGTGCCTCTTACTTCTGCGAAAGAGCAGAGTGACCTATATATAATTAGAAAAACAGTAACTGGTTCAGTATTTCCCCATAATCATCTTGGAGATGCTGGTGTCTTATTCGTTAGAGGACATGGTATAACTATCACTTTGGAAAAAGTGCTGTAGGGTTCCTGTTGGGAGAAAGCTATAAAATACAGTAATAAGTGAAAAGCCATAAAAACTTAAACTCTGTGAAAGGTGGAAGCCTGAACATGGTGACCTGTTTACAATCATAACTTAGATCCTCAATTGTATTTTAGACACTGAGTCATAATTTAAGATACTATGACCTATGAAAGCCAGAACAAGAATTTCGTGACTTATATGTGACCAGGACATGATTGATACACAAACTTATATTTGGGCACAACATAGGCTTAACTCCCAAGCTCATTACTATGTAGAAAACCAAAAATATCTACCAATCGATAGTGATGCATTCAATAGCTCCTCCTCCCTTTGTCTGTTTTCTATAATTATCATGGGGATTGTTGGGGTTCTTTTCAATAATCCACTGAATGGTCTGGGGTGGACAGCCCAGACCAAAGATTGTCCCTGCTTTGTAAGTATTCATAATGTTCGATTAAACTACTACCTATAATCAATCTGGAGATACTTGGCCTCTTCCTTCAGTATCAAAAAAACACCCCATGGTTATGAGATTCCCCAGTTAGGGGAATTCTGGACCTTGGTGGATTGCATAAAATCTAACATATCTACTCTGATTTTTCTTAACCAGAAAGTGTTTTGATCAGCATGCCCTGAAATTCTGGATATAACTCCCCCAAATTACCTCCTTTTCCAATGACCGTTAAATTCTGATGACCACCTTGGAGTCTTTTAAAACTCTTCCCCACCTCCCCACCCCCATCTCCAATTGTTTCTGTCACTCTATTTAACCACCCTCTTCTTCTTTGCCATATTAATGAATACACTGCCTGTCTGACCACCCTGTATACATCCATACAGCTGAGTTGGGAGTAGATGGAGAAGTTTACATATTTCTGTTATGTGTTAATATGTCTACATCTTTGTTCTGGTGCTCACAAAATCACAAATGTGTTGTGTTCCAGAAGTTCATTTGCAAGTCAAATGCTTGAAACTTGGAACACATCTTCCCACAGAAGCAATTTTTGAAATGGTGGTTAAATACCAAGGCTAGTCCAAGTCACAAAATAACAGAACTAGAAAGGACCTTACTAATTATCTGGTCAAACCCTTTTCATTTTAAGTTAAGAATACAGGGAGCCTCAAGATCATGCAGCTAATAAGTGACAAAGCTGTGTCACTGACCACTGACTCAAATTTCACCTTTCTACTATGTACACTGCACTGCATCGTCACAAAAATCTATTTATTGAATTGTTGAAATAGTAAATATTTTCAATAAAAAGATAGAAACCATAACTTGCAATACTACCATTTAAAGCAGAAAAATAACAAATTGAATAAGAAATAGGTTGTTGTTTTTTGATCTTGAATGCTTGTTCTTGAAGAGGTATTGGCTTACTTCAAAGGATAGATAGCCTTCTGTAGAGATTCTGAAAGGAATTTCTAAGCATTTTCAAAGGTTTTACAGATTAATAGCACTAGTATTTCATTATGCCTATTTCTATGTACGGATGAAGCCAATGATTTTAAAAAGCAATAAAACTCAGGAAAATTCGGTTGACAACGTTAGATTTTTTTACTTACTAAAGTGAAAATATACATCCTTTCTGTTGTTCTGGAAGAGGACCAGTAACATCAGGAGAGTGATGTCTTGACTTGCAAGTGAATTGGATTTAAGTGAGACAGAGCTGTGCAAAGTCATCAGCCTCACTCTCTCCATCAGAGTCCAGTGGCAAGATATAGGTCAAGACCACATCGTTTCTGTTAACAAATGGTAAACCACAAAAAAAACAAAAACAAAAACAGAAATAAACATGCTACCAGTCACAGTCTCTACATTAGTTGTTATTTCCTAATTTTATTTTTTTTATGAGAAAGTTTTAGTTAGGAAATGATAGGTGCAGCAAAACAAAATGTGTATGGATAGAAAAAACATTGTTATGAATTGGGATGGAAATCTAGGATAAGAGGAGAGGTACCTTATACCTTCCTTCCTCCCACCCCTTGAATCACAAAAGTCAGCAGGGAGGAATCAATGGCTCAGCCTGGCCTGGAGGTGCTGCCTTAATGATTCTAGTCTAAGCATTAAGGTTATGATTCTCAGTTGGGAAGAGGGTTCCCATCTTTACCAGAGAAAAAAGTGAGGGCACGTGCTTGCTGTTGAGTTCATTTTCCTGTTACCAGCCAAGGATTACGATTCTACAGATTCTACAGATATGATTCTATACATATTGACTTATGACATTATCTGTGTTTTACTGTATCATTATTTATTTTGCTAAACATTTCCCAATTACAGTTTTACCTGCTTCAGTCACAATGGGAAGTACTGCAGCCTCCTAAGAGTTTGACATTTCAGGTCTAGACAACCTCGGAGGTTTTTTCTCACTCTCAATCTGTGATCCTATTATCCCCTACCTGCATAATTCAAACAGGCTGGCCCCACCCTACCCCACAAGCCTAGATCGCACTCCTTTCTCAACTGATTTTGAGATCCCTTATTTTCCTTCAAACTTCACTTCAAGTACTCCTTTCTTTACGTAGCTTTCCCAGATCCTTCCAGCTGTTAATTCTCTTGCTCAAAAATTCCTAAAACACTTTGTATTCTCTTTTGTCCTGCTTTACTCCCTACCTTATATTATATTCAGGCAGCTAGGTGACACAGTGAATAGTGTCAAGCCAGGAGTTAGGGAGTCCTGAGTTCAATCTGGTCTCACAGGTTTACGAGGTGTGTGACCCTAGGCAAGTTACTTAACTTCTATTTGCTTTAGGTTCTTCATTTGTAAAAGGAAAATAATAATAGCACTTTCCTCTCAGAGTTGTGGTGAGAATCAAATAAGATAATAATTGTAAAATGCTTAGCAACAGTATCTGGCATCTAGTAAAAGCTATATAAATGTTAGCTATCATCATCATTATATTCGTCTGGGTAAATATCATGCCCCTAGTAGAACTCTAAGCTTCCTGAGAGTAAAGTATATTTCATTCGTCTTTGTCCCCAGTACATAGCATAATACTTGTACATACTAAATGTTTGCTAAATTGAATAGATAGAAATGGAGAATGATTTTCTTAAGGTTTCTGGGCAGGAGTTAGAAGAAAGAGGAAAGAAGAAAGGGGAAGAAAGTCTAAAATGGGTGACCTAAAGTAGAATTAGGATCATAGGACTTAAGAACTAACAGGTACCTTAGATATTATTTAGTCAAACTTCCTCATTTTACAAATGAAGAAACTGAGGCCCAGAGAGGTTAAGCAACTTGAGCAAGATCACAAAGTTTGTGAGTAGCAGAGCCAGGATTAAAACTAAGGGCTGTGATTCCACTACCAGCTCCTACTGAGTAATGTGACATGAGATAAAGGAAAAATAAGGGTATCATGTTCATGATCCTTTTTTCAGGAAAAAAAAAAGGAGATGATAGAGAAGAGCCACCAAAGGGTACAATTCCTCACATTGTCCATTGGGTAGCATAGCCAGCCCAGATGTGCTTAGTTGTTGACTAATGAAAAAGCTTGGGAGGTGGGGAAGGGGCAGGTCCAATGATGAGAAGATTAACTGGTATGGTCAATTAGTCAATAAACATTTATTTTAAGCACATACAATGAGCCAGGAACTGTGCTAAGTGTTGGGAAGGGGATCTGCCTGGCCCACTCCATTTGTAGCAGACGTATGAAGTTATCCATCTATCAGCTACGCTGAGCTCAGAAGTGAACTCAGCGGAGCAAATGCTATGTAAGAGCTGTGTTTCTTAGGGGCAGCTGGGTGGCGAAGTGGATAGAGCACCGGCCCTGAAGTCTGGAGGACCTGAATTCAAATGTGACCTCAGACCAAACACTTGACACTTACTAGCTGTGTGACCCTGTGCAAGTCACTTAACCCCAATTGCCTAAAAATAAAAAAATTTAAAAATTTAAAAAAAGAATTGTGTTTCTCTACATTCTCCCAGAGACTGAGGTGAGTGTACCTCCAGGTGTTGGGGAAAAAGGTTTGTACTGCTGGTCTTGCTATATCTTCAAAGCAAATATCTCTTTGTAAAACATGATTGTTGTTAATTGGTTAAAGGAAGTGGGGAGCTAATCACTGATGACTCTCAGTGGCAGAAACACATCAGAATGGAAGCTCATGATAATTTTGTTATCCAGTCATGTCCAATTCTTTGTGACCCTGTTTGGGGTTTTCTTGACAAAGATACTGGAGTGGTTTGCCATTTCCTTCTCCAGTGGATTGAAGCAAAAAGAGGTTAAGTCACTTGCTAAGGGTTACATAACCAGTATATGTTTGAAGCCAGATTTGAACTCAGATCTTCCTGATTCCAGGCCTGTTGTTCTATCTACTGTACCACCTAGCTGCCCTGGAAACAAAATGAGTGTCCATTAATTCAGGAATGGATGAAAAAATTGTGGTGTATGAATGTAAAAGAGAATTATGAAGAATTCAGAGAAATGTGGGAAGATTTGTATGAATTGATGCAAAGTAAAGAAAGTAGAACTAAAGAGAACATATGCCTAAATGCTAATGAAATGTAAAAGGAATTTGAATCCAAAGTAATGGGAGAAACAATTAATATTCCTGAGAAAATATAATAAAATACATCTTTTCTCTCATGACTGAGAAGTGAGGAACAACTAATAATGTTAGATGGTCTCTGTATTTGGTATTTTGCTTACCTGTTCTTCTTCAGCACTAGGTTGGATTCAATGGCGGGAGGAGGGGATCATGAGTTAAACATAAAAGGCATCAATAAACTGTATCTTCCAAGCATGTAGTACTTCCTTTGCACATTCCACCATGAGCCTATGATTGAGAGGACTTCATATTTAAGTAATACAAGCTCCACAGTTGGCATATGGGTTAATATGAACAAAGAGCAAGCAAAGACCTGGCTGTTGGGTAGTTCTGCAGATTCTTATAGAGGAATGTTGCCACCTATAACCAAACAGGTTTTCCTTTTAAGAATTTGTGAGTCACTTCCTTTTCACAAATAGCACTGCCAGGCTATTGCATTCCTTACCCCTGGCTTTGGTTCTTTGCTAAGCAAGGATCTGATCACTGAGTCATTTGTGTGAGTCCAGGTAGAAATACCTCCACTCTTTTTGCCAGGATGAGCTTCTTCCGATGTCTAGTCTTTATTTCATCTTCAGGGCAATTTTTATTCAGTGACTTGGCTTACAAACTAAAGGGATATTTAATCTGTATGCTAGCTTTTTACCTGAAGTAATAAATAAACTATGATCTTGAAAGTGCCTGAAAAAAAAAAAAGTTCAAGCACCTTTGCCCAACATTTGAGGGCCTCTATAATCTAATATCCCCTGACCTTTCCAACTTAATTTTAAATTATTCCTCTTCATGTACTCTCTATAGCCAAAATCAGGTTCTTCCTCTGACCTCAAACACAATCTTTAATATCCTGCCCTTCCTGATACTCTCACTATCCACGAAATGTCTTCCCTTCCCCTCATCATCTGTTAAATGGCATCTTTTAAAGTGAAACTAAAAGATTCCATAGGAGCAGTAGTGGTACCACCTGGAGTCAGGAGGACCTGAGTTCAAATCTGACCTCAGACACTTGACATTTACTAGCTATGTGTCCCTGGGCAAGTCACTTAACCCCACTGCCTAGCCAAAAAAATAAAATAGAAAGAAAGAAAGAAACAATAAAAGATTCCATGAAAGCTTCCACAATACTCTGTTGGCATCACATTTCTACCTTAGACTTTACACAGAACTTTGTTTTGTATTTCTCTCATGAACTTAGGTATGATTGTATATTTTAATTATGTTTATAATATGTTTTATTAAAGCATAAGCTCCAGGAAGGGAGAGACCATCTTTTACCTAAACTATTTATTTCTTCCAGTGCCCAGCAAAGGGCTTTATACAATAAACAGGGAAACCTTCGATCATTTCTGGCTGGAGTATAACCCATGGAGCACTCTAGCATTTTATGTAACATTCTTTCTCTGAAACTTCCTGTGAGGGGTGGGACAGGGGCACTCTCAACAAAAACAGGGATTGTTCTTACATTTGATCCAGTGACACTACCTCCTTGCCTTTCAGTCACTCCATCTCTTGGCCTTGTATATTTTTTATGGCTGTCCCCCATGCTTGGAATGCTGCCCCTCCTCATCTCTGCCTCCTGGGCTCCCTGACTTCCTTCAAGTCACAACTAAAATCTCACCTTCTTTTCCCAATTCTTTTTAATTCTAGTGCCTTCTGTTAATTATTTCCTATTTTGCTTGTTGTCTTTCCCATTAGTCTGTGAGCTCCTCAAGATGAATCTTCCTGACTTCAGGCCCTGACTTCCCTGCAGCTGCTAAAGTGCTTTCAAGAGAACCTAGGAGAGTGAAATACAACTTCTGACCTACCTTGAACACAGCTCATGGACTTTGAGAGAGATATTCGGGCCGTGTAGAGCTGAAAGGAAGGACTAGGTGCTTCATGCTTTAAGTATCAGTTTCACTGTGTACAGACCTCTGTTCTGCTCTCGGCATTTCTCCTGGAGTTTTTGGGCAACAAACACCACATCAACCATTCCTCGGCCCTTTCTGAAACCACACTGGCTCTCAGGTAGATGACAATCTTCCAAGTGAAGGATCAGCCTATTAAGGAGGACTCTGGCCAAAAAATCGTCAGCAAGGGGGCAGCTAGGTGGCACAGTGGATAGAGCACCGGCCCTGGATTCAGGAGGACCTGACTTCAAATCTGGACGCAGACACATTAACACTTACTAGCTGTGTGACTCTGGGCAAGTTACTTAACCCCAATTGCCTCACGCAAAAAAAAAAAAAACTGTCAGCAATAACCAAGAGAGACACCTCCCACACACACAACATGATTGTCACAGGACAATATATTTCCTTTATCTTTATAGAGATGGGCAAAGGAAGCATCCTTGAACTCCTGGGGGATAATCTCCTCTTGCCGTATAACCTGGAAAATTTCAGTCAGCTTTTGTATGAGCAATGGATCTCCTCCACCTTGTAAATCTCAGCTGGAATAGAATCAGTACCAGGTGTTCCCTCCTATTTGAAGCCTTTCTTGAAGTACTTCCTTTCCAAGTGTAGATTTATTTCTCTACAGGAAGAGAAGATGAAGAAACAGAACAAGAGTTTGCAACCTGGGTCCATGGATAGATTTGAGGGCATAAACGAATTTAGATGGGAAAAATTACATTTTTATTTTCACTAACCTCTAACTGATAGTATTTCCTTCAATTATGAATACAGGCAATAAAACATTCTGAGAGCAGGTCCATAGGCTTCATCAGACTGTCAAAGCGGTCACTGACACACAAAAAGTTGTAAACCCCTGGACAATAGGAATGACTCTCCACACTCCAGATTGTTAAGGACAATGAAGCCATCCTAAAGGAAATGGCAGTGGGGCTTCATTGAGGAAGGAAAAGTGGATCTGAGGTAGAGGAGAAGACATTTGGCACTTGTTTAAGAGGCTGGAGAATAGAAGAATGTCACACAAAGGAACGAGAGAAGAAAAAGACAGCTAATATAACAACACCACCAATAAAAGAAGGGACAAATACTTGCAGCTAAAAAGATGTAAGACCTTTTCTGAAGAGGAAAGATCTGGAGGATCTGAGAAGGAATACGTTTCTTGTGAGGTGATGTGGTACACTGGAAAGTACTCTGGATTTGGATTTACAAGAGTTAAGTTCAAATCCTGGCTCTGCTGCTTACTGCCTCTGTGATTTTGGCTAAATTACTTAACCTCTCTGGGCCTCAGTTTCTTCTTCTGTAAAATGAGGGAGTTTAGGGGAAAGAAAAGGGAAGGGAGATAGAAGGGAGGGAAGAAGCAGTAAGGGTAAAGGGGAAGAAAAGGGAAAGGGCTAATAGAAGGGAGTCTAAAAGACTGAAGGAGGCGCTGGTCAAAAGCAAAACACTAGTGAGGATGGAAAAGGAGAAAGGAGAAAGAAAAGCATAAACAGGGGGAAAAAGATGGAGAAAAAGACAGAGATAGTAATCATAACTGTGAATGTGAATGGGATGAACTCTCCCCAAAAACAGAAGTGGATAGCATAATGGATTAAAAACCATAATCCTACAATATGTTGTTTACAGGAAACACATTTGAAAAAGAGTGACACACACAGGGTAAAGGTAAAAGGCTGGAGCAGAACATATTATGCTTCAGCTGAAGTAAAAAAAACAGGGGTAGCAATCCTGATTTCAGACAAAGCAAAAGCAAAAATAGATCTTATCAAAAGAGATAAGGAAGGAAATTACATCCTGCTAAAAGGCACCATAGACAATGAAGTAATATCATTACTAAATATATATGCACCAAATGGTATAGCATCCAAATTCTTAGAGAAGTTCAGGGAGTTACAGGAAGAAATAGACAGCAAAACTATACTAGTGGGGGGACCTCACCTCCCCCCCCAAACTAGATAAATCTAACCACAAAATAAGCAAGAAAGAAGTTAAGGAAGTGAATAGAACATTAGAAAAGTTAGGTATGATAGACCTCTGGAGAAAACTGAATGGGGATGGAAAGGAATATACTTTTTTCTCTGCGGTACATGGCACATACACAAAAATTGACCATGTACTAGGGCATAAAAACCTCACAATCCAATGCAGAAAGGCAGAAATATTAAATGCATCCTTTTCAGATCATGATGCAATAAAAATTATATGTAATAAAGGGCCATGGAAAGATAGACTAAAAAATAATTGGAAACTAAATAATCTAATCATGAAAAATGATTGGGTGAAACAACAAATCATAGAAACAATCAATAATTTCATTCAAGAGAATGACAATAGTGAGACAACACAACAAACCTTATGGGATGCAGTGAAAGCAGGTCTTAGGGGAAGTTTTATATCTCTAAATGTTTACATAAATAAAATAGAAAAAGAGGAGATCAGCGAATTGGGCATACAACTAAAAAAACTAGAAAAAGAACAAATTAAAAATCCTCAATTAAACACCAAATTAGAAATATTGAAAACCAAAGGAAAAATTAAGAAAATTGAAATTAAGAAAACTATTGAGCTAATAAAACTAAGAGCTGGTTTTAGGAAAAAAAACAATAAAATAGATAAACTTTTGGTTAATTTAATTAAAAAAAAGAAAGAAGAAAACCAAATTACTAGTATCAAGAATGAAAAGGGTGAAGCTACCATCAAGGAAGAGGAAATTAAAACAATAATTAGGAATTATTTTGCCCAACTGTATGCCAACAAATTTGACAATCTTAGTAAAATGGATACATATTTACAAAAATATAAATTGCCCAGGTTAACAGAAGAGGAAGTAAAATACTTAAATAACCCCATCTCAGAAGAAGAAATTGAATAAGCCATTGATGAACTCCCTAGGAAAAAATCTCCAGGGCCAGATGGATTTACATGCGAATTCTATCAAACATTTAAAGAACAATTAATTCCAATACTATATAGACTATTTGGGAAAATAGGTGAAGAAGGAGTCTTACCAAATTCTTTTTATGATACAAATATGATGTTGATACCTAAACCAGGAAGAGAAAGAAAATTATAGACCAATTCCTCTAATGAATATAGATGAAAAAATTTTAAACAAAATATTAGCAAATAGATTACAGCAACTTATCACAAGGATAATACACTATAACCAGTTAGGATTTATACCAGGAATGCAGGGTTGGTTCAATATTAGGAAAACTATCAGCATAATTGATCATATCAACACCAAAACTAAAGAAATCACATGATCATCTCAATAGATGCAGAAAAAGCTTTTGACAAAATACAACACCCATTCTTATTAAAAACACTAGAGAGCATAGGAATAAATGGAGTCTTCCTTAAAATAATAAATAGCATCTACCTAAAACCTTCAGCAAGCATCATATGTAATGGGGATAAGCTAGAAGCATTTCCAATAAGATCGGGGATGAAACAAGGATGCCCATTAATATCGTTTAATATTGTACTGAAAACGTTAGCTTTAGCAGTAAGAGAAGAAAAAGAAATGGAAGGTATTAGAATAGGCAAAGAAGAAACAAAGCTATCACTCTTTGCAGATGATATGATGATATACTTAGAGAATTCTAGAGAATCAAGTAAAAAACTACTTGAAATAATAAACAACTTTAGCAAAGTTGCAGGCTGTAAAAGAAACCCACATAAATCATCGGCATTTCTATATATTGCCAACAAAGCCCAACAGCAAGAGATAGAAAGAGAAATTCCATTTAAACTTACTGTAGACACTATAAAATATTTAGGAGTCTACCTCCCGAAACAAACCCAAGACCTCTATGAACACAGTTACAAAACACTTTTCACACAAATAAAGTCAGATTTAAATAATTGGAAAAACATCTGTTGCTCATGGGTAGGCTGAGCTAATATAATAAAAATGACAATTCTACCTAAGCTAATTTACTTATTCAGTGCCATATCAATCAAACTACCAAAAAATTATTTTATAAAGTTAGAAAAAATAATAACAAGATTCATTTGGAAGAACAAAAGGTCCAGAACATCAAGGGAACTAATGAAAAGAAATGCAGGGGAAGGTGGCCTAGCTATTCCACATCTTAAATTGTATTATAAAGCAGCAATCACCAAAACTGCTTGGTACTGGCTAAGGAACAGAGTGGTGGATCAGTGGAATAGGTTAAATATGCAAGACACAGTGGTCAATGACTGTAGTAATCTTTTATTTGATAAACCCAAAGACCCCAGCTTCTGGGATAAGAACCCACTCTTTGAAAAAAACTGTTGGGAAAACTGGAAAAGAGTATGGCAGAAACTAGGCATAGACCAAAATCTCACATGATATACCAAAATAAAGTCAAAATGGGTCCATGATTTAGATATAAAGGCTGATACTATAAGCAAACTGGGAGAACAAGGAATAGTTTACCTATCAGATATATGGAGAACAGAAGAATTCATGACCAAACAGGAGTTAGAGAACATTATGAAAAGCAAAATGGATAACTTTGATTACATTAAATTGAAAAGTTTTTGCACAAACAAAGCCAATGCAACTAAGATTAGAAGGAAGGTAGAAAATTGGGAAAGAATTTTTACAACCAGTCTCTCTGATAAGAGCCTCATTTCTAAAATATATAGAGAATTAAGTCAAATCTATAATACAAGTCATTCCTCAATTGATAAATGGTCAAAGGATATGAACAGGCAGTTCTCAGATTAAGAAATTAAAGCCATCTATAGTTATATGAAAAAATGCTCTAAATCATGATTGATTAGAGAAATGCAAATCAAAACAACTCTGAGATACCACATCACACCTATCAGATTGGCCAAGATGACAAAACAAGAAAATGATAAATGTTGGAGAAGATGTGGGAAAATTGGAACACTAATGCATTGTTGGTGGAGTTGTGAAATAATCCAACCATTTTGGAAAGCAATTTGGAACTATGCTCGACAGGCTATAAAAATGTGCATACCTTTGACCCAGCAATAGGATTTCTAGGGTTATATCCCAAAGAGATCATACAAATGGGAAAAGGACCCACATGTACAAAAATATTCATAGCAGCTCTTTTTGTGGTGGCAAAGAATTGTAAATTGAGAGGATGCCCATCAATTGGGGAATGGCTGAGCAAGTTGTGGTATATGAATGTAATGGAAT